ATGTTGAGAACTTCCTGGTCAGCGGAGGTCTGCTTGGGTCTGGACAACTCACTGGTCCTAATAAATCTAGAGGGAAACCACCTCGCTAACGGAGAAAAATAAGGCAAACAAACTTGTTAGACATAGCGCAGTAATGAGTAAGATCGTTTTTATTTTGTCTCTACCTTTGATGTTATTGCATATCTTTTCAGAAACCACCTGTTAAACTGTGACGACATTTTCCTTTCTTTCTCAAAATTTCCTGTCTAAGCAAGCCCAAGGCTTTAAGAAATTTCTCAAAATTTCCTGTCTAAGCAAGCGCAAGGCTTTAAGAAATTTTTTTTGTGGTCTGAAGATGTTTGAGCTTGAGCAACATTTCTAGCATGAAGAAAGTGACCGACCCTGATGAAGATCACAAACCAAAACAATACTAAGCCTTTTGCAGTCTGAAACTCATAATGTACCTTGAAATTCATGATTTTTCTTTAGATTTAGCCTGTGGGGTACTCTATCTGGGATACACTGGGCATTACAGAAAAATACAATTCACCAGTAAAAACTGAAAATAACATTCCAGATTTTACAGACTGGTGGTGTCATACTGAATGTAAACCCCAAGATTTAAATTTTATCAAGCAATAGTATAAGGTAAAATGACTATGATGAAACATAACTGAATTAAGTAGTCAGGTCATGTGTGGTAGAGAACAGGATTATATGCTACAGCATGTAACTGCATGATGAAGTCACAATTTGCTCCCCCATCCATGCGTAATAAATTAATTGTCATCACTTGTGAAATCTTACCCAGTGCCTTCATGAGCGTGTGGAGCACAGAGCAGAAAAGAGCAGCTGTGTGGTCGTAGCTGAGATCCAGAGCCATCAGCACATCCTGAACAATGTCCCTGACCAAAGGCAGCAGGCTGCAGTCAGAGTGAGTCAACATCACTGTCAGCACGCGTGGAGCCTGGCCAACAAGACGGGACTATGATGACATACATGTTCAGGACCCAACCAGCCTATGCAAACCCACACACTCTTCACCTGGTGTGGAGCTGAGCAATGCGACTCAGGCCAGAGTGAATGGGCTTACTTTAGACTCCTCTTAACAAAATCAGACTCAGTTTTAATTCTAACACCACTTGTAACTTAGGCTTTTGTTTTGGGCTAACTTGATATAAACCCAAAGATAAGATGCTTGCAGTTAATCCAATCTTCACCTTCCTGAGAGCAGATACACTTTGAATCAATCCGATAGCAGCTAATCACATTGTAAGATCAGCAAACAGACAACCCTGAAATTATCACATTCAAAGGAAAAGACAGCTGTGGCAACATGCAAAACGCTGCTAATCAATATATACCTCAAAACAACCAGAGAAAACCCAAAAAAGAAAAGAGGAAAAAAAATGTCTCATGATAAATGATCATTACATGCTTGCAAAGGAGTAGAAAGAAGTGATACTTATCTAGTTCTACCCCTACATGCACACCTAATAATCCCACTTTTAAATGTTTATTTGAAACTAATAAATGTTTTAAAGCATTAAGTTTTAACTGTTACTCCATTTAAACCAATTAAAACTGCACTGGATCTGCCAAAGCATGCCACAGCTATTCATCCTAACAACATGCCAAACCACCTCGACTTTACCTGTGGATGCTGGCTGAGCCTCTGCAGGTTGAGGGAGATGTCATTGAGCAGGTAGTCTGAGTTCTCATTGATCAGCTCCTTCAGGGAGAGGTAACCACAGGCTTTACTGATGTCCCACATGGAGCCCAGAGCTGCCTGGCTGACCAGTAGTGTCTCCTCCCCAGCTTTCTCCATCACTGGGTAAAGTGATGTCATCAACAGGGGGCGAAAGTCAAGGCCCAGAGCTTGAGCAAAGCACGCGATACCTTCGAGTTGGATACACAGCTGCCAGATGTTGCTGTTGAGCTGGTGGATTGTGGAGGTGGATGATGCGGGAGATGGGGAGTCAACTGAAGGAAGAATCACTTGGAGGGTGTTTGCATTAGAGCTGCTGACATGGCTGTTGGATATGGAGAAGAGTCTAGGTGGGCTGAGCAGCTAGAGAAACAGAGAATATAAATGTCATGCATCATCTAGTCTCTTCTCTATAATGTAATGTGGTTTTATTTTGTTGACATAAAAAAAAGTTCAGTATTAAGATGATGAATGAAGCTGAAGTTTAAAATGCAAAACGAGCTGACAATAGGAGTCAGATCAGAGTTAATACTCTGTACAAATTTCTTATAAAATGATCCATGAACACTGTTGTCAGTATATCGAACAGGTTTCATATTTATTACATGTTCTTTTTATGAATCTCAATAATTTGACTTAGCATTTTTGTTCTTAAAATCCGTTTCACTTTGTGTTTTGCCTGTATGGACAGGAATCTGAGCTGAAAAAGTTCAGTGAAGAAGTTAGCTTAGCATAAAGAATGGAAGCAGCTATCCTGGCTCTGGCTAAAGGTAAAAACATCCACCTGGAGAAACTTCCTGGACTTTGTGTTGTCCCCATGAGGTTGGCAGGCAAACAGCAGAGACTGCTCGAAGCTGAGATTGGCATAAAACTTCTCATCTAACTCTCAGCAG